CTCATGTGTCTCTTATGCTCCCTGGTTATCTCTGACTATGTATCTCTCTCTCCTCTATTTTTTACGTGTGTGTGTGTGTGTGTGTATTTTTGTGTTTGTTCGTGTTTGTGTGTGTGGCCTTCAGTCTCCGAACCTAATCAGAACTATACAACTGTACACTGCTTATCCATCTTATACCCCAGTCGACACAATCAACACAATACAGGGGCGGGGTGTTTTGGGCCTGCTGTTTGTGCTTTATTAACATCCAAACAGAAGGACAGAGACACTGGGACTTGAACCCTCACCCTTAGTGTAATAGGCAAATAGCCTAGCGTCTACAGCACAGACTATAGTAGGACACTATTATAACGTCTTTTACGTCAGTGACAAAGGAATAAACAGTGGTTGTTATCTACGTGTACTTGGATGTAAAGGATGGCAAATCAGGGCTGAACTTTGTTAGGGTCAACGCGGTAACCGATTCTCCACGATAGAGTGATTAAAGAGCGAGCAAGAGAGAGAGAGAGAGAGAGAGAGAGAGAGAGAGAGAGAGAGAGAGAGAGAGAGAGAGAGGGGAGAGAGAGAGAGCAAGTCATTAGTGTGTTCATGCGTTTTCAGGAATCATAGACGTATACCCAAAGGATGTTCAGAGATGAGTTGATAGTTTGCTCTTGTATTGTATTTAAAAAAATATTGATGAAGTGCATTCAACTCAATAACGAGGTTATTTCTTAGTAAAATATAGGGTTTTTGCATTAACGAATTTGGATTCTAAAAATAAAGAGAAAATCGGATTATACACTGTTCTTATGGAAAGAATAACGAATGCTGTTTCATTAACGTTACGTTACTTTTTGCATTATTTGTTTTTGTTTCGGTATCCCTTGAAATATTCATTTACTACGTCCTCTGCTCTGGATTATGTTGAAATTATGATAAAATACAATGCAGGATATTGGAGACTCATTGGGTCCCTCATAATAAGTACATATAAACACTTGGAAAGAACGGAGCAAGCTCTCTGTTCTCACTAAATACACTTACGAATTGAGGTTATGATGGTATGCTGATTCCGCCTTGGTTCTTATTCTGTAATGTCTCTGTCGTGAGAAGAGCTATAAACTTGGCTGTTGCCTTACGATGGATCACAATGTCTGTCAAGCGGGTAGTTCTACAGATTACATAGCACCAGTCTCTCTTTATCTCTCTCTCTCTCTCTCTCTCTCTCTCTCTATCTATCTATCTCTCTATCTCTCTCTCTCTCTATCTCTCTCTCTATCTCTCTCTCCTTCTCTCTTACACTCTCATTCTCAATCTCTGTTGGTGGCTGGTGGGCTCTTTGGTGTTGTTTCTCCTTTCCTATTGAATACCTATCGTCGAAATATCCGGTCTTACTTTTCTTTGTACAGTATTTTTTTCTAGCAACACCTTTAATCTTCAGCATTTTTATGACCAATGCCGTAAAATTCTTACGAGAAACTAATACATGTATCTCTCTCTTGTGGCGTTAGTAGCCTAGTGGTAAGGTTACCGGACTCGTATTCATGAGCTTTTTTCTTGAACACGAATTTCCCATTTTGCTCAGTCCAATTTGAGATAGACTTTAAATAGTGTTGATAGGGGTGTTTAACCTATACCACTTCCGCATTTACAAATATAATGAACGGGAAGAAACTGGCATTTTCCCGTAGGTTTTAGAGTTTTTATCGAATTCTTTTGGTTTTGGTCCCAACACCTTTTATGCCCTTTAAAGGACACATTTCTGTGTTGATTTTTACTGAAAAACGTTGATTAACGGCATGAAAGTTGTAAATTTTCAGATTCCATGGTCTCTCAAGCTAAAGAAATAACGCAACTTTGGAGGCCATTTTCTCACTAATTTTACCTCTTTAACCAGGCGACTCCCACCTCCTTCATTCGCCAATTTCTTGACTTGCATAAAAGATAAATGGATACTTTTTCCTCAAAAGCAAGGCAAATGGACAGGCTTTAAGTTGATACCAATAACTCCATATACCCCAATATTGACGAACGCCTGATTCCACCGATGCGTAACACACACACACACACACACACACACACACACACACACAC